GAACTGATTCATTATGTGAATAAGCAGCTTTCGCGTGATAGCAAGTTCACTGTGGTCATAAGCATACCCATTGTGGGAGGGGTCCTGTAATTGGATAAATCGGCCTCTACTGATGAGCTTTGTTGAAAATTGAACTGGGTTTGATCACCGTTTTGTGTATATTCTATTTATTAACTGACGGTTTAGGGTGAACATGAAGCCTGACCGCATAACATTCTTTTCATCACTATCCCGCGTTCCAGCTGATTTCAAAGTTGGTTGGCAAACTCTACACTAGTACATAAAGGTAACATTGGGTTGAAGAGAACTATCATTAATCCCATTCTTAAACTTTGTTTATCTTTTTTAGATAGCAAACCAAACACGACAGTAAATCAGATGAGAGACAAACGTAAGAGTTAAGTTCATGTAGTTAACTAAGCTCAGTTGGAAAGAGGGAGTTGATGAATGAGTTTATTCACATCTGACTAACTCGACTGAATATCCCCTATATCACATAAAAGCAGTTGAATAATGTTGGTTTCGATCATCTGTTCATCGAATTATTCTGTAAATGGTGTGTATTTGGGGCGCTTCTGACAGTTTCTTAGTTGTTGCGCGTTTCGCTTATTGCGTTTCCGCTGCCCGATATAAAAAGCACAAACCTTCGTGGCGTCAATTTTTCCGTTTATTTATGTTATCAGCGCTCAGCAGAATGGATTTTTTTGGCGGAAAACGTTTATTTGCTTTACGGTTAGAGACCGCATTAATAAAACCTGAGCGGAGTTTAATGCTGTCCAGAAAGCTTTTCATGTTTCCTGTTAATATCCTCCACAATTTCCATAATCCACTTTCGAGCTTCGTCCACATCCACTTTTCCGTCATTATTGCAATCGCGTTTCCGTATTGAGTCCATTACACGTTGTTTAAACTTAGCATTGGGTACAAACGTGGCAATCTCGTCAACAGAAACTTCTCCACCTCTTTCCTCATCCAGTCGGCTTAGGAGAGCGTTGGTCCATGATTCCGGCTTCCTGGGGGATGGGATGAGAGAAGTGAGATGACCGTGGGTGGATGTTGTGTGAAGAAAACCGGTAAACAATCAACAAGATGAATACCTCAAAATACGTTTCCTGAGCTACAATAATGAAAAATGAGAATGATTATTTAATATGATTTAAGCAATAAAGTTAGGCATTTCGCTGTGATAAGCACAAGGATGTGTTATTGATGGTTCCTATCTTTGGTCGTTACGATAGTAGTGTTGGAGATACTACTCACTTGTGAGTAGTACGCAAAAAGATGAGATCAATGGTTTCTTTCAGCGACCAACAATGAACAAGACCTGTTGGAGGAAACTGCCGCTGTTCGATATGGAAAATGCAAGCACGCACATCTTAAAGTGGACCATTTCATCAAATATCCAGTGGATGTGCAGAAATTCCGCAAACTTGTTCCAAATGAGATATTTTATCGTCAGAATCACAAATTAACCATATCCTGACCGTTTTAGGCACGTATCTCGACCGAGCGCCGCATTGTGAAATTATAACGCTGGTAACACAGTGGAGTTAACCAAAGCAGTAATCTCTTTCTTAGGCTGGCAGTAAATTATCTTTACGATATCTATCTCATTCAAAGATAGGAAAATATTCGGCTGAGTCAGCTGAACTGGTGTCAGTTGGTATTCAAGGTTAGTGACAGTGCGTCTGTTTACGTCGGCCATCCAAATAAATAAATAAATCAGTCAATCAATCAACCTATCTATCTATCTATCCATCTATCTATCTATCTATCTATCTATCTATCTATCTATCTATCTCTATCTATCGTATCCATCTATCTATCTATCTATCTATCTATCTATCTATCTATCTATCTATCTATCTATCAGTTTTGTCAAAAAATAATCAACTACTTAGCGAATCAGCTAGGCGGTTTCCCTTTTAATCCGTGCGTTATAATGGATAAAGGGTCTCTGTGTTATCGTTCCTCAATTAAGGTTATACAGTTCAAGTCAGAAGCAATGCTCAGGAATCATAACAGTTCCGAGATAACTATTCCATAGGCTTTGTCTCACATCGCAAGAAATTATTTTGAGAACATGGAAAGTATAGGATATGACGTGGAAATAATGTTTCCCGAGATGCGGATGTTGTTGTTGGTGTGTTCTCCGAGCTGGAAGCGTTGTTCTTCGCAGACGCTTTGTATCCAGGCGAGGCAACATCAATGCACTGGGTACGAAAACGTCTGCGAACAAGTTTTAGAAATCGGAAAATACACCAAAGACCACAAAATTGAAAGTCCTTTCAGAAAAGAAAGTTAAACGCGCTAGTTATTTTTATGGTCTACCGGATTACATTTTGACTGACAGATGTGATCACATGGAAAATCCAGACGGCAAATATCAGCTGTCTACCGTAGCCCTAACTCATGTGGGCCTGCTGATTAGTGTCTGCATAATATACCGTGTTACTAAACTGTCACTCAATTCAATGTTAGAGATATTTTTACAGACGCTTGTATTAACTTTAAACTCTTCATCTAGTGTCCCTCACTGTCAAACTGGCTACATAAGATCGTACAAGTGTTTCTTTATAATTGCACGGCAAATTAAAAGCATCGTTTTAACACCAAATTTACGGGAATACCATACCCTTGACCTTCGTTAGCCATTGATGGATGATTTTTCTGAAACAAAAAATGAATGCAGAGACAATTGTTCTGTTCGCAAAATAGTAACAGGTTAGTTGTTTTAACGGACCAATTTCCAGAAATCGATTTATTGGAATACTCTGATATTCATTGTACCTTAACTGAAATGAAATTTGCCAGTCATAGTTTTCCAAGGAAAGCATCCTGTATTTGGGTCCTCATTCAAATATATTCATATGTATGCAAAATTTCAGTTTATAATCTCGTGGTTAATTATCCTGATTTCCGAGGCTTAATTCGTTTTGGTGTACTCCGTCAGATTGACGATTGACCATCCCATCTACCGTTACTTGTTCCTAATGGTGTGCCTCATGATTCAGCTCATCCTTTTTGATTCATCTCACTGGGTTTGACTTAACATAACCTTCATCTTTCGAGCTTATATCGTCCAGTTCCCGGTCATATATACCTGTTTTCAGACTGATATGCAAAATTGAAATGCATCAAATTAGACTAAAACATGAGTCAGCTGGGGCTGTTATATTGATTCATCTTTTCACATTTATCACTAGGAAGGCTTGTACACCGTTCGACCCCAGTTGAACTCATACCAAGTGGCCATAAAATAAAATACAGGTATTGATCAAACTCGTTCAAGACGCTGATTTTCATCCGATCCGTTCCTCTCGATGCTTAGTATTTGCAGTCTCATTCAATAGATTTTGTATGATGATACTTCCACACCAGGCGTCACATATCTGTGATAATATTCCTGTTTGTTTTCGCTGCCATAAGTCCAATGATACTACAATGTATGATCTACTGAGTTGGACGACTGAGGCTAGAGAATCAGATGTAATATGCAAAGCCTGGGTTAGAAACCTAATTGGAACCCACTTATAGACAACTGTTAAACATGATAAATGCACTGCACTTTCATTTTAACAATGGTCCTAGTTGCCTTTGTTTGGAGTTCAACAAGTCGACTATTAAAAACAGTGTTTTATAGTTTCTTCTAATACATGCCATACCCTGGCCACTGACAACCACTATCGAGGTAGCTAATTTATCCCCGTTTCCAAAACAGGGATACATTTTCCACTTTATATTCAAAACCCAAAGCTATCTCTAACATATGGGATGGTGAGTTGGAAGTAGAATGTATTTAGACAATAAAAGGCTCATTGCACGAGTTTAATCAACACATGTATTGGTGAACGTGGTTTTCATAATTAGAGAATTATCCTCAAGAGTTATCCAAGCAGGAAAATAGGTCACATAAAGACGGACAAAAGAGGCATTTGAATCAAAATGTCAGGTTCATTCAGCAGTTTAATAGCGCACCGTAAGTTTTATAGAAATTTTGATAAATCACCATACAAACAAAATCGTGGCCAAAAATTTTAAAACGACTAATACACGCAACAAGAGATGAAAAACTGAGTGGTTTTAGGAATAAACAACAGCAAGAAAAATGGTTGATTGGGTTTCTCATATCTCTAGTTTGTTAAATCAGTCATTTGTTATTCAAAGGGGTCTCATTGCGAACAGGTAAACCAGGTCGTTTCACAATATGGACCAAAACTCACAGTCAAATAAACTGGTAATTATGCCAAATCAAAATAAGCCCGCGCTTCATTGTGATCATTTATAGCTGCCCGAATTTCATGTTTTCGCTCCTGAGTTGCGTGGTTAGACTCACCAATTTCGTGTGTATACACGTTCATTAAGGTTTCCACCCAGCAGTCCGTCCCTATGGATCCGCTGGCTTGTAATAACATGTTCTATGGAGACGCACCATGCACCATGGTGTCTGTAAGCAACTCGCCCGGGGGATGTAGCACGTGTAATGGAAATGAATACTTTAGTGGGCTGTACGAATCAGAGGCCTTTTTCACCTGTCACCTCAAGCATTCAGTCTGTGGCAGACAAATTTTAGATTAATTAAAAGCACTTCCCTCATCATGAGAGCAAGAAGGAGCAGTGTGATCATAGGGTGTACTGAATTCAGCTGACGGTTGCGTGTATTTATTCAGATCACGTTTGATTCGAATACTAGCAGGTTTGAGAAAGGGGAATTCATGGGAAAATGAAAAGAAATGATATGTAAGCCAATGGTCATGAAAATTGAAACCAGACGTTCGTCACTGAAGTTTAGGAAATTTATTATGAATGTCACATGAATTGCGGGCCCCGTTCCAGTTCAATCCGTCATACTCTGATGTTGCGGGTTTATTCACATAATGGATCTGCTCGGTTAAATCGACTTCCTGACGAGAAGATATGATAAATCATGAAACGAACACCGTTTTGGGCAATAAAGATGGTTAAAATAGAAGGTATACGATTAATCCAGATGGAGCCACGGACCCGAATGATGGACCATAAAATCAAAAGACTTATCTGGCATTTATACTGGTTAATACATGCAGAGGTTATACAACATTGGGATCAGACTGAAAGCTCAAACAACAAGGTGCACATAATCAAGCTGTCAAAAGAATCCGTTTCCTGTTCAAATTATTATTTGCTAGATTGAAGTGTTATGTGGACATTGTGAAAAGTTCTTTAGCCCCCGATGGAACTCGAACCCAGGTATGGACGCCACCGATGTTTTGGACAGAGCCTCGTTTACTAGGCGGGCTACAGGCCTACACAGATAATATTGATCTATTCACATTAGAATTTACCCATCCAACTTACACGGGCATATGGAATCAATCAGGTGACATGCAAACTGACTGCCCTCGACAGGTCTTCCTTAGAACTCACCGGAGTCCATCGAATGAACTATTAAGGCAGAGTTAATTGTTATAATTGTTGTTCGGTAGATTGAAGTGTTATAGATCCGTTTATCTCTGGAAAGTATCATCCAAAGCCTTTCCCTTTAAGCCATAACCGAAAGCCGCAATGGGTTAAACCCACCGCGATATCCTTCATCCGGAACAAACAAACTTTAACCAGATCGCGGTAAGTAAATCAGAACAAAAGGTATTTAAATATCCTTAGTTGAACAAATGTTGAAATCCTTTTTTATCTGAAAAAGAGTTATATTGCCAGGCTTGGTGAATGAATGAGTTGTAACTATTGCATACTGTGCCTTTGACCGCTGTAATTGCCTCAATCTCGCAGCGTGGCTAAATTAGGTGATGATTCAGTGTATTTGGTGTGGATTTATGTCTAATGTGTCCATTGTTCTCGGACCTTAAGCTTTTCTGCTTCTCCAAGCGGACTCATCGCTGGATAAGCTGAGGAACGGTACGTGTTTATTTTTCGTTTGTATCGAACTTCTAGTTCTTGTCAGGGTTTTCAAATGTATGACAATCATATGGTTTGTATTCCGGACTAAGAGCTACTAACAAAACATGATTGTATTTTTGATGACGTTCCGTTGCACTGACTTGAAGTTTGTATTCGATTCGTTAGCGGTGGGGCTTCATACAGAAACCTCGAAAAACGGCAGTAATATTCGTCGTACTTACCGAATGTAATGCACCTTTAACATATCGATAACGGTAAAATGAATGGAAAGGGGAGACCGAACAGTTTCATCGGCATGGAAGATCGAAAAGGAAATAATTGAATGTGCACCTGGAGGATTGAATTGGAAAGATGTTGCCAAAACATCAGGGTTAAGATGGAACAAACAGATGTTCATCTATCGTTTTCTAAATAAAAACTGATCGATCAAGAGGCTGCTTATCCAGTCTGGGAAACAACTCTGTGACACTGCTAAGGACAAATGAACAGAATATACCAAATGATTATAGCCAAATGGTAAAACAGCGTCGAAGTTGTACACTGAAGAGACCAAAAAAATCATCTGTTGTCATGGCTTTTGACTCATTACCGTTTTCTTCCATCGCTAGAACTTCCAAGTTTAACGTCATATAAAGATCACTTGCTATATATCTAACGGGTTTCTACCTGTTGATAGTGACTGTGTACCCAAGTGTTTTAACAGTATTTAATGGTAACCACGCACCACTTTCTTGGAGCACTTTGGATCTATGGCTGGAGATCAATCATTAAATCTGTCTTTTGATACCACCTGGTCTGTTCTCGACCCTTTTGTAACATTTTTAAAATCTAAATTAGTTGAATTTTGAGCACATCAAAAGTTGGGTGATTGAAACGACTACAGCCGTACAATGAATGCGTACAGAATGTTTTAAAACTAGGGCTGCATCGACTTAATCTTCTCTACTCAATTGGTCGTGCAGTACTTGACACAATCACGACGGTCAAAGGCGCAGCAATCGCTACAACTCATTTGTTCACCATGACTGGCAACATAAATCTTTGTGAGAGCATATAGGACTTCAACATTCGTTGACCTAAGAATATTTGGATACTTTGAGTTTTGACTTTCTCATCGCGGCTTGACGAAGGTTTGTGTGTTCAGGGTAAAGGAATACCGACGTGACCCAGTAGTTAAAGGTGCTGGGGAAAGGATTGTGAATTGAAGCTAAAGACTTGCGGGTATTCGATGGGAAAACGGGGTAACTTATTACCTTGCGGTTGCAAAATATCCTACACATCATCTAGTAACAAAATGGTTTTTTGGGGGGCATGTTATTGACATTAAATGATACTCAGGAGTTGAATGTGTACTCATGTGCAAACGAAGATAACTTTTCGTGGATTGAACAAGCGGTTATCTATATACTGACATTACTTGAACACTATTAAAATCACAGGAACGGAATAATCGCGGCTCGGAATTCGGCAACAGCTGAGACAATGCAAGTTCGACTTTTGAAACCTAAGTACTATCCAGCACGAAAATCGTGTCAGCTACCGAACACCCTATGCTACATTCAACCAATCGGAAGGTGAACGTATTGACAACGGTAGAGAATTACGAACACCTACCTAACCTTGTTTGGGTATCACGTAATTCTTTGATTACCGAGTCCTCCACTGCCCTCCGTTAGTGGAGCACCCCTCGGTAATCGATCGCAAAGATACGCTGAAATTCATGCGTTTCATATATGGAAAAGTATGCGTATATAATGATGAATTCAACGAAAGGTTTTCATCCGACTCTCCATATTTCGAGTAATATTGAAACGTGGTTGATGTTACGCAGAAAGTTAAGTAACAAATGTATTTCGCTAGACATTGCTTTTCTTTAAAGCTCCATTTCAGTAGCAGAGCACTAAACAATATTTTCTAAAATCGGTTTTCGAATTGTTTCCTTTCGCGCACACTTTTCATCTTTGTTTCTTTAGCACGTTCTTGTGCTCTTTGGATTTTCGACCATGCCTTGAGGGCATCTTCTACGTTAGCATATATCGGTACATCGTCTGTGTCAGGAAGCTTTAGTACACGCTGGTCGCAAATGAAAAACTTCTGGTTTAACCGGACCGAACCGCTTTAATCTCTAAGATATGATTTTCCCATTTCTTCTTTTTTTCTTGCTGCAGATTTTGGTGCTCGTTTTGGGGTGCAAAGAAAAAGGATCAAAGTACAGGGAATATGGAAATATTAAAAAAATTTTCAAAAAGAAAATAAAGTCATCTTATAGAATATGTATGAAGAAGAAGAAGAAGATTGAGAAGTTGTACGAGCTCCACTAGTTGCAACGCTCATTCATAGCACTCACTATCTCTGACCATCACTCCGGTCTAGCAAGACGACCGCAATCTATATGACCAAGTCTAGCCTTGTGTTTGCTTCCTAATCACATAGGAGTACAGAATGTGAATCACTGTACAATTACACATGGCTCAGGTTTGTTGTGTGCACTCAACCACTGAATCGATCAATCGTAAAGCTTTAAAGTTGGCAGGCGAGGAATTTCTAAATTCATTCATTATGAATGGCTTCCACAACAAGCTAGTGATGTGATCGAGTTTGATCGTGTGTGTGTGTATTTGCATGTGGGCGAACTCTGAGTAATTAGATGTTCGGCAGGTTTGAAGTTTGTATGGTGAGTGTGAAAAGTTCAGTAGCTTCGAGTGTGAAAAGCTCAGTGCCATCGTTTTGGCATCGTAACTCAGCTAGTAGAGCGTGCGCATAAAAAGTGTAGGCGATGTCCATGCGTGGGTTCGAATCCCATCGAGATTACCAAACTTTTCACAATCGCCATACAAACTCTGAGTAAACGGATGTCGCCATTCCAACTGAAGGCTTTGGCTGAGGGCCTAAATCGTTCTCTTGTCCTGAGATGGGATTTCCTAGATTACCACCTGATGATGCTACAGTAAACGCTAACTAAATTGAAGTCCATTCTGCATCGTTCTTCACAGATGATAAAAAAGACCGCGTTGTCTATTGTATTTAGCGCGGTACCTGGCAATAAATTGGGCACATTTCAGACAGCTATCCGTTGTCTCAGTTTTATATAACAAGCCGTCTCTTTTTCGCCCATTATTTCAACTGAGATGGCGCCCTCAGACACTCGCAAAGCCTGTTGCAAATAGCGCCGTTGTGCTCTGCCCTGCCAGAAAACAGATTACTGTGTCTGTAGTTCTGGGAAGACCATCAACGTGCCACAAAGTCCTCGAAAGATCGCAGCATGTCGCTTCAATTCACTAGGTGAGATGGCTCAACTGGACGAGATAGCAGTAAGCTAGCGTTGAAGTTGCTTGGTAATAATTGTAGGTCCTACTGAACTACTTAAGATTAATCTGATCACGCAAAATGTTTATACAATTTAAACTTAAACTCACTGTTCGCAGATAGCATCGACAAATTGTGTTGATACATCGTCGCACGTCTAGTGTAAAATTCCATGCCCGCTATGAGTCAGAGTTATGATAAGAGCCATAGGCGCGCAAACATCTTAGTGTAGATAAAAATTAGGATCAGGCATGACGCATAGTTCATTAATCAGTGTACGTTTCTTTTGAACCTGGACTTGTTTCTCCTTGATGAATTTAAATATAACACGAGTCCCCAGCTCGTATGCACAAAACGAGGCAAATGCTAACTAACGAGACTAAAAACAAGGGAAAGTGATATCTGCACCGTCAGCTCAAGAACAACCTTGACAATAACTAGTGAGACGGAAGTTGCGGATGCATGAAGAAATAGTGAGCGATTACTCTAACGGATATGTAACAACGGAAGTTGCTGAACTCCAGTTGGTGAAAAAATGTACTAGCACACTGTTCACAGTGAGTAAAAACGAACCGAGCACTTGCAAGGGGGGAGAGTATTTTTACTGGTTGAAATTCGCACAGATCACGGATTACGACTCACCTACTACAAGTCACGGACGCCACAGAAACATTGAATCTTACTAGCACTTGCACGACGGTACCCCACGTAACCATCAAGCAAAAGGAATACAACAGAAGAAGCGGTTCATCTATTTGAGCAAACCAAGGGGGTTAAATAACACGTACGAAACAAGTTTATTGTTTATCCAGACATCTACCAATCGCGTTCTCGCATTCTTAGCGTTGTACAACTTCTGACTGGGTCGCACAGCTTCTGACGGGTCTGCACAATCGGCCTGTAATTCGTTGTCCGGAAGCTGTAACGCGCAGTCACTTGGCTGGCATCATCTAAGAAGCCCGA